GTGTGGCTGCCCCATAGCAAAGTTGCGCGCTTGGTTAGCCTGGGCCCACCCGCCCCGCTCTGCTGGCCATGGCAGGACTGCTGCATTTCAAGGTCTGCGCTTGGCTAACCACGCCGTTGAAAGGCGTTTAACAAACTGCGCACTTGGCACTGCGGCCTGTGGCAACTGCGAAGCCAGCTCAAGTGCCGCCTCAATGCGAAACTTTGTGTGCATTTTAACGCACAGGCAAGTGCAAGGCAGGGGCCACAGCGCCACTCAACTGCCGGCATTTGCATATGAAACCGCAAGCCCGACGCCCAACGCCCGGTCGACCGACGGCGCCGGGGTGCGGCATGAAAAGTTATGCGTTGAATGAGGGCGACAAATTGCAAATTAAACTCTTTTGCATTTTACACACATGAAACTAGTTGTAAATAAAAAATAAATAAAAATGCGCACAACAACTTTTGCCCACAACTGTAAATTGAATTTGATTTCAATTCAGCCAACAGCCCCACGCGCAGCTCCCCTGACTGCTGACTGCAGAAATTTAAGCCAGGGGCCATTTAACCGTTTAAGCAACAAATCTCTAAAATGTCAAAATCAAGCTGTCTACCACCGCACCCGCCCCAGCCACAGCCCAGTAAAAAAAAGGCCTTTGGCGCAGTGCTCGGGCTAAATTTGAAAAAGAGTTTCGAATCAGTTGAATTTAAACTTTCTGAATCTCTCTCTCTCTCTCTCTCTCTCTCTGTTTCGCTGCTTCTCTGGCATTTGCTTTGCCTTTTGGCATATTTAATTTGGCGACTTCTGTCAGCTTTTCGCTCTGGCTCTTTTTTTTTATTTTCTGCCCAAGACATTGGCCCTGTCAATTTGTCCAAGCGCTCGCAACTTTTCAAACGCAGCTCATTTAAATATAATTTGTCACAAAAAAAAAAGAAAAACAACTCTTTTCCTTCCCAAAAGGTCAGCTGCAAAAGTGGAAGGTGTAGCAGCGCTGGGCGTGGCACTTGGCCTTGGAACAAATGGGCAAAGTGGCTTAAGGTATTTGGTTTTGCCTAATGATTGATATTGCTGTTTAGCTTAGAATAATGTTGATAATAGCTAAGGGATTTTGAGAGATTTAAATATGTATATATAAATAGATACATCTACATATGTAGCTGTTCAATTTATTTATTTCAGTCTTCTTATTGATTTTATAATTTATTGTAAACATTATTGGCATTACAAAAAGTAAAATTTATTTATTTTATTTTTGTTATAGTGATTAGTTTTAAATACATAATTACTATCACTTAAAGTAAATTTGTATTAAATTTAATAAAATAAAAAACATTTTAGATTTTATATAAATTTCACAGTTTATATATGTATGTATATCCATAAAAAAAGGTTAAAACAAGAAGCGAAGCTCCTCCTCCTCTTCTACCTTTGTTTTGCCTCCTGTGAGGATTGAACTCACGACCCCTGGTTTACAAGACCAGTGCTCTGCCACTGAGCTAAAGAGGCTGCTTGCCAGTGCGCGTCAAATGCCTCTGCAAGTTGTGACTGCGCTGACAATTGATCAGCGATCGCTGATATAAATACATATAAGCGATACGCGCTCTGAAACAATTGTTTGAACAGTTGTTTTCCAAGATAGCAGGCAACATATGTAGCTGAAAGAGAAAACATGCACTTGCTATTGAAGGAAATTAACGAAGATAACGGACATTCGACATTTATTGATCACAAATGTTTCATAAACTGTAAATGGAACTTCAATTGTTAACCATGATTGATTAAGACATATTTCGAAATCCAAATCGTGTGTGAAAGTGTTTAAAGAAAAGAATTGATCCAAATTTAGCTGCCGATCATCTACCGATTAATATATTTATAATTAAAAAAATAATAATAATGATAAAATTTAAAATAAAATAAAATAAATAAATATTTGAATAAAAACAAATTAATGAATATAAGCTATACCAAAACCGAATGTCTAAAACTTAAATTAATATAATTTAATTGCCTTTCACACTGCAAAAAAATAATCTACAATCAAATACGTTTAGCTTTAAGTTTTCTTTACGCATTTTGCATCACTCTTTTAGCTGGTTTTATATTCAGCCACAGATGAGATTGGCCAGCCGCACGCAGTCCGCAGTGCAGAGCTGACAGGCGATTTTTACCGTCCATTTGCAAATCTGTAACAATAGTGATAATTTTTCTTAGCCAACCCAAAAAGGGAGCAAAATAAAACTTTCCACAACATTTTGACAAAGTTTTTTGGGACGCTCAAATTTCATGTTCAACGCGCAAAGTTTTCAAAAATGTTGAAAAATATTACAACAAAAAGAAAATGTGAATATAATTCGACAAGCGCAAGCAGGAGGCGGAGGGTTGGAGTGGAGGAGGCGGGGTGGTCGAGAACCGGAGGGTCCTTGGTTGCGCCAGCTCAGCTGCTTAAATCATTCATATTCAGTTACACCCTCTGCGAAATCATTGCACTGACACTCGGCACAATGGCTGCAAAAAG